CCACACTCCAAAGACATGCTGGGAGGGTAATTGTTTCCTGTCTAAATTGTCCCTAGTATGTGTATGTATGAATGTGAAGTTAGGGTCCTTAGATTGTACACCCCTTGAGGGTTAGGGACTGATGTGAATGTACAATATATATGTAAAGCGCTGCATAAATTGACGGCGCTATATAAGTACCTGAAATAAATATATCTGAAGTACAGTGGATTCATACATTAAATTCAGATAGGTAGGTAGGTAGGAGAGATGAAGCTAGGAGTGAGGAGAGGCCATAGAAACGGTCTGGGGCAGGGGTGATGGTGACCATGAGAGCCCAGCTGAGGAGATCGGATGAACGGGCTTCAGCAGCGGTGGACTTAGTTCCTCCCAGACCAGATTGTGATGGATGTGAGCTGGAATCTACCATAATACCCTGACAAGGACAGATCGTAAAACCTGCTGCTGTTTGAGACCTACAGCCGGAACAGGGCTCCTTTGGTTACCAACCCACTCTTCAATATTCACATGGGCATTGCTGAGCTTACAGGTGCATATGATAACCCAGGTAAATGCAGAAGGTCGAATAAAGAAAAGGAAGAGAAGAGAAAGCTAGTAGAATATCAGAACAGGTGGGTAATCAGAGTTTTGTTCCGTGTCCATCTTCCTGCCCTTTGTTGGAACTTCGCTGATTGTCTGCTGAAATATAACTTATCCAAGGGTCCCTTTGGAATAAATGTAGTTTATCATTAAAAAAAAAAAAATTCAGGTAGGTAGGGTGTGGTCAGTTTTCCTTAGCTAACCTTCATTGTATATCCATTTTGTATGAGTTTTCTTCTTGTGTGTGTATATGTAACGGACGCAATAGAAATGAACGGGTATTTCAAGAACAGTTAGAACAGGAGGCCAAGCTGGAGTGTGGATTGTGATGGACACCGAATCCCAACGCTCAACTGAGTTTCTTTCCATCGTCATCTACTGTGTTTGTAACCATTGGCTCCCGTCTGTTGTATTATGTAAACAAGGACTCATCCACTGTTTCTAAGATGCCGTACCCATCTTCAATTTATTGGAAGAGCATTTCTACACATCTTGGTGTGCGTGTCTATTTTCTTGCAATTGCAGTAATGATATCATAATTTGGGTCCACCAACTAATGAGGAATTCCATTACATGTGTGTGATATTTTTTTCCTCTAACAATTCCCGTACCCCTGCATATTCAACTTCTTGAGGAGGATATCTAAAGCTTCTTGAAGTTTTCGACAGTCTCAGCAAGTACTACTTCCTGGGGAAGGGAGTTCCACATGTGTACTGCTCTAACAGAAAGAAGCCCCTTCCTCCATCTCTCCATCTTGAACCCCCTTTCTTCCAACCTCGAATCGTGTCTGCATGTCTTCTATAGGAACCTTGGAGATATCTCCAAGGTTCCTTTAGAAGACATGTAGCCACGATTTGTGCATTTTAATCATAACCCCTCTTAAACACCTCTTCTCAAGAGTGACTAACTGTAATCTATGTAATTCAGGGGTGTCAAACTAACAGCCCTCCAGCTGTTGTGAAACTACAAGTCCCATCATGCCTCTGACTTTGGGAGTCATGCTTGTAATAGTCAATCTTGCAATGCCTCATGGGACTGGTAGTTTGGCAACAGCTGGAGGACCGCCAGTTTGACACCCGTGATGTAATTGATTCTCATAGCCAAAGTTCTCCAGGTATTATCAGCAAATGTCTAAACTGAGCTCTTGATGCCAACCTCTTTATCATTAAAAAAAAGAAATTGATCAGCATTGGCCACAAGACAGAGCCCACCATTCAGAAAATGAATAATTTATCACTACTTTCTAGACCAGTTCATGTAACCAGTTTCCTATCCATGTACATACAATTTCATCAACTCCTACAGACGTTATTTTAAAGATTAAATACTTATGAGGTACAAAATCTAGGTAATTTCCATCCACTGGACTTCCACCATCTAATTTCTCACTTCCTTCCTCCTTAAATGATAACAGGTTGGTCTGACAAGAACGGTCTTTCATAAATACATGCAGGTTGTCACTTATGATACCTTTATTGCAGACAAATTTCTGTATAGAGTTCCTTATCAGTCTTGAATACCTTACATACTATTGATGTTAGGCTGACTGGTCTGTAGTTTCCTGGTATACATCTTCATATCCCTCAAGGCAGTGCCTAGCTCCATGCCCATTGACAATCTCTTGCCTAAAAGCCTTTAACTGCTTCCCATCTGCTATACAGCAGAAATACTATTACAGGGCACTACGGGTGAGCAAAATCATATATACCCTGTTCCAAATAATTATGCAAATTATATTTTTCTCATTTACCTTAATAGTTGATGTAAATAACAGTCAGCATAATTCTCATGTTATCAACTATTAAGAGTACAATTATAATTTTATTGAACAAACCTCCTGATAACAGGATTTTTGTTAAACATAAAACACTTCCAATGCACTGTTCCAAATTATTCCGCACAGGAAGTTTCAGAAAACTTTATAGGTTGTAAAGAACTGAAAATTGTCATTTGTTGTGTTTGCAGCATATTTACTGAAATCAAAAGCTATTTCAATCAAACTTTTAACAACATTTTAACTTTTTAAAGATTTTAGCAGGTCACGTTACATTGTAACATAGGACCCCTTATTTGATAGCAGCTTCACAAGTCTTGCATCCATTGAACTTGTCAGTTTTTGGACAGTTTCTGCTTGAATTTGTTTGCAAGATGTCAGAATAGCCTCCCAGAGCTGCTGTTTGGATGTAAACTGCCTCCCACCCTCATAGATCTTTTGCTTGAGGATGCTCCAAAGGTTCTCAATAGGATTGAGGTCAGGGGAGGATGGAGGCCACACCATGACTTTCTCTCCTTTTATCCCCATAGCAGCCATTGATGCAGAGGTATTCTTTGCAGCATGAGATGGTGCATTGTCATGCATGAAGATGATTTTATTACGGAAAGCATAGTTCTTCCTTCTGTACCAGGGAAGAAAGTGGTCAGTCGTAAACTCCACATACTTTGCAGAGGTCATCTTTACACCTTCGGGGACCCTAAAGGGGCCGACCAGCTCTGTTCCAATGATTCCGGCCCAAAACATGACTCCACCACCGCCTTGCTGACATCGCAGCCTTGTTGGAACAGGGTGGCCGTCCACCAACCATCCACTACTCTATCCATCTGGACCATCCAGGGTTGCACGGCACTCATCAGTGAACAGAACTGTTTGAAAATTAGTCTTCATGTATTTTTCTGCCCAATGCAGCCGTTTCTGCTTGTGAGCATTGGTTAGTGGTGGCCGAATAGAAGGTTTATGCACAGTTGCAAGACTCTGGAAGACTCTACACCTTGATGTCCGTGGGACTCCAGAGGCACCAGCAGCTTCAAATATCTGTTTGCTGCTATGTAATGGGATTTTAGCAGCTGCTCTCTTGATCTGATGCATGGATCTGGCAGAAATCTTCCTCAATGTGCCTTTATCTGCACCAACCCGTCTGTGCTCTGAATCAGCCACAAATCTCTTATAATGCGATGATCACGCTTACGTTTTCGTGAAATATCGAATGTTTTCATACCTCGTCCAAGGCATCGAACTATTTCACTCTTTTCGGCAGCAGAGAGATCCTTTTTCTTCCCCATATTGCTTAAAAATGGTACTCTCCTTAATAATGTGGAACACCCTCCTTTAGTAGTTTTTCCTTAAATTGGGCTCACCTGCCAATCTAATTATCACAGGTGTCCGAGATTGTTTTCAGTGATCAAAAGAGCCCTGACACACAATGCCATCCATGAGTTACACTGAAACACAAAATATTTCATCTTTGTGACACTTAAATAGAATTTGCGTAATAAGTTGGAACAGGGTGTATATATATATATATATATATGTGTTATTTTGCAGTTCCAGGTAGGGGGCGCGTGCCCTACCTGCGTCACCATTCGTGGCCTCAGCTGTCAATCACTGGGACCCAGCCGGTGATTACTCGCCAGCACTCGGTGATCGAGTATTTTCAATGGCGGAGAGACCTGTATGTAAACAATACAGATCTCTCCTGTCAGCTCCTGCACACCGCTTTGTACACAAAGCAGTGTTCTTACAGTGTAAAGCACACACACAGCCCCCATGTGAAACAGCACAGTTAACCCTTTGATCGCCCCAGATGTTAACCCCTTCCTGCTTTCAGTGCTTTTTTTTTAGCACTGATCACTGTGTTGGTGTCACTGGGGATGTCAGTGACACCAAGTCAGTTCCCCCCAGTGTCAGAATGGCCACCACAGTCCTGCAGTCCCACTATAAGTTGCTGATTGCTGTCATTAGTAGTAAAAAAAAAAAAAATTCCCAATATATACCGCCATTTGTAAATGCTATAACTTTCACATAAACCAATTAATATACACGTATTGAGATTTTTTTTTTTTTAGCAAAGACATGGAGCAGAATACATTTTGCCCTAAATTTATGATGACATTTTTTTTTTTTTTTTTTTACTGGATATGTTTAATAGCAAAAAGTCAAAAATATTGTTTTTTTTTCCTCAAAATTGACTGTTTTTTTTTTGTTTATAGCGCAGAAAATAAAAAAAACACATAGGCAATCAAATACCACCAAAAGAAAACTCTATTCATGGGAAAAAAAGACATAAATTTCATTTGGGTGCAGCGTGGCATGACTGCGCAATTGTCAGTTAATGAATGCAGTACCGCAATGCAAAAAAATGGCCTGGTCAGGAAGGGGGGTAAGTCCTTTGGAGGGCAAGTGGTTAAATACCTTACATACTATTGATGTTAGGCTGATTGGTCTGTAGTTTCCTGATATATATATTTCCATATCCCCTATGGCAGTACCCAGCTCAATGCCCATTGATAATCTCTTGCCTAAAAGCCTTTAAAACGGCCTGAATTGATTTGAAAGATGTTGCTCCTAATTACTTCAGTGGGGTTTGGATAAACATTCAGAGCTTATTACCAGGTTAGCCAACCATCCAGGAATATGTGACTCATCCCTACACCCCACTGTGAGATCTCTGATGCATACAAAGGTCTGTTTTCCGTGCATAACATTTTCCACACTCAGGGCAGGAATACGGCTTTTCCCCTGTGTGAGTTCTATGATGTTTAACAAGTTCTGATTTTTGTGAAAAACTTTTTTTGCACTCAGAGCAGAGATATGGCTTATCCCCCGTGTGCGATCTCTGATGTATAACAAGGTACGATTTGCATAAAAAACATTTCCCGCACTCAAGGCAGGAATACGGCCTCTCCCCTGTGTGAGATGTCTGATGTCTAACATATTGTGTTCTCCACGTGAAACTTTTCCCACATTCAGGGCAGGAATAAGGCTTCTCCCCCGTGTGCAATCTCTGGTGTGTAGCAAGGTCTGATTTCTGTGTAAAACTTTTATCACACTCAGGACACGGATACGGCTTCACCCCTGTGTGCAATCTACGATGTCTATCGAGGTCTGATTTTTTTGTAAAACATTTCCCGCACTCAGAGCAGTAATATGGCCTCATGTCTATGTGAGATCTGCAATGCATGACAAGTTCCGATTTATGAAGGAAACATTCCCCGCACTCAGAACAGGAATGAACCTTCCCACCCGTGTGTGAGATCTCTGATGTATAGTAAGACTTAGTCCAGAACCAAAACTTTCACCACATTCAGGACAGGAAAATGTCTCCTCCCCCTGAATTCTGGTACCATCCCTCACAGTATGAGGTTGCTCGGAGTCAGAGGGATTCGATGGTCCATCCACACTGTGAAGTCCACCATCCATAGCTGAGATCATTGTCTTTTCTCCTCCACAATCTCCTGTGATGTCCTCATCTTCCATTTTACAACCCGGAGATAAAGTGAGATGATCCTTTGAGGGTTTCCTGGTGGTGAGTCCTGGAAAAATATAAAAATATGATCACTAGATAGAAGAGGGTTAGTTCACTTCAATCAAGGTTTCATCTGGATCAGGTAGACTTAAGTGAACAGATGTGTATGTTCCAACCAGCTGTGACCTCCCCTCTTCAGTAAAAGGTCCTTTGGTCCTCCCCCCAGATCACTTCTACAGTAAAAGGTCCTTTGGTCCTCCCCCCAGATCACTTCTACATTTCCCCAGCCTTGTCAGAAGAGCAGGAACCAATGGGGACTGGGAAGTGCATGCTCTTCACACAACCACAAGCCCAGGCATTGTGTCAAGGGATCTGTGTGAAACAAAGGTTCAGACTAGTAGAACCTTTACCATGGAACATGTGCAGATAGACCTCGGCTTCTGGTGATCAGAACTATTCTGCACCTCATCTATGTAATTTTCTGTGTTGTATTGAACTGCATTCAGTTTTTGTTTTGTAGTATGCTGACGCATCTAGTGGAAGTTTTGGCCCACTAAAACTTGTTTACTATTTGATTTTGGTTTCTCACTCAGTCTTTCCCTCCTGTTTGATGCTAGTTAGCTCAGTCCTAGCTAGATCCATCCCAATTCTTCCATGTTCTCTCAATCAGTGGTAGCACTTTATGGAGACAAAAATTTAGAAAATCATCGTCTTCTTCAAAAGATTAATTGAACATCTCTGCTTCAAAAGACTGAGAAAACATATTATGTACTGCAATTGGTTGAAGTAAAATTGTTTCAAATTATGTGTCTTATTGCAGAGTTAAGCTGTCTGTGGATGATGCTAAGTCAGCAGGTGACCATACTGTTCGGACAAAACTGGGTCAAAGGAGGTATGTCAATGCTAAAGGGGCATTTTAAATAGTACAAGAACAGCAAAGGGAGCTTGCAGCAGTTTTAGTGTTTCAGTTTTCACATTACTATTTATGTGTCAACCAGGCAAGACTGTAAATAGTGTTTTATTATTATTATTATTATTATTATTATATACAGTATTTATATAGCGCCAAAGGGTATGCTCAGCGCTGTACAGTAGCAAGGGGGACAGAACATGAGACAAGACAGTAACAAAACAGTACACGAGGGGTTCGAGGGCCCTGCTCTTTTGAGCTTACAATCTAGGAGGGAGGGGAAGGTGATACAGGAGGAGATGGCTGTGGGGGGATGGAGTGATGGGAGGAGTGGAGGAGGTTGTTAGGTGAGGTCAGGTGTTAGGTGTTAGGTGAGGGTGGGGTAGGCTTCTCTGAAGAGGAGGGTTTTCAGGGTGCGCCTGAAGGTGAGGAGGGTGGGTGACAGTCTGATGGATTGGGGTAGGGAGTTCCAGAGAATGGAGAAAGTCCTAGAGAAGTCCTGCAATCGGGCGTGGGAGGAGGAGACCAGGGAGCTAGAAAGTAGGAGGTCCTGTGAGGAGCTTTAAGGAGCATTTAGCTATAAGTCTGCATGAAGAAGAGGGATCAACTTACAAAAGGTACAATCTGTTATTATATCTGTACTACTGTGACTAGGAGTGAAATAAAACCGAATACTTCTAGCTGGCCCCAGAATCTACATAAATAATGTCTGAGAACATAATTTGTGTCTGCAGCACAGAGAAGGGGGTTTATCTCAGAGAAAAGAAGAAATATTGAGCAGGACGGGTATCAGTGACTATTATCAATCTATTATTGGCTGATATCACTCATCTCCCGCCCTACTCTGGACCAATCAGTGAGCAGTAACAGAGCAGAGATAACAGAATATATTGTGGCTCTGTCAGGGATCTCCTCGATCCCTGCCGCGATGGTCCCGGCGGCGCAGGCGCAGTGCACCGCCCTGTGCAGGGACACGGGCACTAGGTCCGGGCCGGCCGCGGCGTTCGAGTTCGCGCATGCGCAGTAGAAGCCGCGGCCGCCCGCTGGGCACCAATGGCAGCGCAGGGCGGGATATTTAAATGGCCCTGAGCTGTCATTCAGTGCCTTCTGGTCTTCCCTGCATCCTGTGAACCTGTGATCCTGTACCCCTTGTAAGTTTTGACCCGGATTGAACCTGACCTTGCTGCTTTCTCCTGCTCTGACCCTTGCTTTGCCTGACCTCTCTCCTGGATGCCCCCTATTGGATTTGACCTTCTGTTGCTGACCTGGCGTGTGACCCGACCATTCTATGCCCGCTGCCTTGTACCTTGCCGTCCTCTCTGTTACCGACCCGGCCCGTCTGACCTTGCTCATCCATCCATCCATCCCTTGCAGTGGGGTCTTCCGACCTCCTCACATCAGACTCTTCCCCGTGGGAGCCCCTTGCGCATACTACTACCACTGACGGGCGCACCCAGTAGTCACGACCTGGTCTCAGGGAGCTCCAAGTCCATCCCCACCATCAGGGGCCCTGGTGAACAAGCACCCTGGGACTTAGATTCCGTGCGCTGGGGACGCCTATTCAGTGGAGTGCTAGTGGTACCGCCGGGCGGTCCCTTACAGGCTCACCTGTGCTGATCTCTGTAGGAGTGTCCTCCTCTTTGTATGTCCTCATCATTCCAGCCTCCTCCGTATATTGCTGATCATCCCTCACATACGTCTCTTCTACTTCACCCTCAACTTTCATCTTCATCAGATCTTCACCCTAAACCAACAGAATGGCAGAAATAACATCTGTAATATAGAAGGATTTATGATGTGAGATCACATAGAAAATATCATCTTGTAGAGTCCACACATCGTCTCCACATGTCAGAGTGTTCCATCACTTTATGTTCCAGACCCTCAACTCCACCGACCTGATGATGGGGAGGGATGGTGCGACCTTCCTGTGTGGAATCCTGGGAATACAGAGGACGGGGACATCTCTCTGGTGGGTTCCCATGACTGGATCTATCTACCTGATGGTGGTGAGGGATGGTGTGACCTTCCTGTGTGGAATCCCGGGAATACAGAGGATGGGGACATCTCTCTGGTGGGTTTCTCTTATTAGGTGACTCCATTATAATGTCCTTGTAGAGATCCTTGTGTCCCTCAGAAAGCTCCTCCATCACTCCATACTCCTCATCCTCTTCTTTATACTCTTCTATAACAACAATATTATAATCCTCGAGGTTTCCACTCTGAATATATAATAAAACATTCATTGTAACAAATATGTTGTGTATAAATCATAACTACCAATATTTGTCAATCATCTACCTGAGCATGTTGTGTGTACTTGTGAAATTTCTGTGTGGAATCCCTGGAATACAGAGGACGGGGACATCTCTCTGGTGGGTTCCCAATACTGGATCCATCTACCTGATGATGGTGAGGGATGGTGTGACCTTCCTGTGTGGAATCCCGGAATACAGAGGACGGGGACATCTCTCTGGTGGGTTCCCATGACTGGATCCATCTGTAGGAAACACACACACTGACTGAATCCATTGTTTCTATGTGTTTATCAGATGATGGGGGATCTAGGTGGATCCTCCGTACTGCTCTCTCCTTTACAATAAAGTCTCCTCTTACCCGGTGATGTGAGGGGCGGCTGATTGTCCATCATGACGTCCTTGTAGAGATCCTTGTGTCCTTCTAAATACTCCCACTCCTGCATGGAGAAATAGACAGTGACACCCTGACACCTTATAGAGGTGGTTGGCACCCCCTCAATCGTGGATAGGTTACAGGTAGATCAGGGGAAGGGGCTGGTACATCACATTTACTGGGGAATCTCTGCCCTCAGTTCCTTTCTCTGTCTCAAAAGTGAGACATCAGGGGTCGATTTAGACCACTGAAACTTCACCAAAGCCCCCAAACAGAGCTCCAAAAAAAGAGTAAAAAAATAATAAAAATAAAAAACTACTGAAACTATTCACTGCCCTACTGACAATGCCCACAGCCCTACTGACACCATCTACTGCTCTGCTGACTGACACAATCCACTGTCCTATTGACACTGTTCACAAACCGTCCACTGCCCTACTGACACCGTCCACTACCCTACTGACACCGTCCACTGCCCTACTGACACCGTCCACTGCCCTACTGACACCGTCCACTGCCCTACTGACACCGTCCACTGCCCTACTGACACCGTCCACTGCCCTACTGACACCGTCCCACCGACCCGTCCACTGCCCTACTGACACCGTCCACTGCCCTACTGACACTTACTGACACTTTCCACAGACCGCCCACTGCCCTACTAACACAGTCCACTTTTAAGGTAGGCTACATTTAAGTGGGATTTGTTTTATTATATTTTTCTAAGTTTTCCTTACTATTTGGTTAGGCCTTGCTAGTTAATTTCTTAAAAAAAGATCGCCAAACATCGGTGCCCTTTTGATACATTTTATGTTGTTCAGGTAGATCTCCACACCTCAAAGGTTTCCTACCCCTGCCTTATAGGAACCTGACACACACAATGATGCAGTCACCATCCAGACACATCCCTTGTCTGTTACTGGAGAATGTCCCAGAATTCCCGGCACCGCTCACCTCTCCTGTCAGCAGCTCCATCATCTTCTTGGTGACTTCTAGAATCTTCTGCATGTTGTGTCTCTCAGGTGTCAGGGAGTCACATGGAGGCACTGTGATGGTCATATGATCACCTGACTTCACAGGAGAGGAACTCTATATTTAAGCAAAAACAGTAATATGTCACATTCCCAGAATCCTCCTCACCTCTCCGGTCAGGTCTGTGTGTTATTAATAGAGATGAGAGTGATGTCATGTGACCTCCCAGAATCCTCCTCACCTCTCCGGTCAGGTCTGTGTGTTTTATTAATAGAGATGAGAGTGATGTCATGTGACCTCCCAGAATCCTCCTCACCTCTCCGGTCAGTTCTGTGTTTTATTAATAGAGATGAGAGTGATGTCATGTGACCCCCCAGAATCCTCCTCACCTCTCCGGTCAGTTCTGTGTTTTATTAATAGAGATGAGAGTGATGTCATGTGACCTCCCAGAATCCTCCTCACCTCTCCGGTCAGGTCTGTGTTTTTATTAATAGAGATAAGAGTGATGTCATCCTCCCAGAATCCTCCTCACCTCTCCGGTCAGGTCTGTGTTTTATTAATAGAGATAAGAGTGATGTCATGTGACCTCCCAGAATCCTCACCTCTCCGGTCAGGTCTGTGTTTTATTAATAGAGATAAGAGTGATGTCATGTGACCTCCCAGAATCCTCCTCACCTCTCCGGTCAGGTCTGTGTTTTTATTAATAGAGATAGGAGTGATGTCATGTGACCTCCCAGAATCCTCCTCACCTCTCCGGTCAGCAAATAGATGATCTCCAGGGTGAGGTTTAGTATCCTCTCAGTCAAATGACTCCGGTTTCTCCTCCATCCTCATTGATGTAGTCATGTGATCTATGGGGGTTTTCTGTAGACAGAGAATTATCTGGACTGTATTGGTGTTGAATATTAGAATATGGAGGTAAGGCAATAATAGGGGGGTCCCCCAGTAGGAACTGGCTCATGTGTACTCAAAACAGAGATTTCACAGGCACTGTTGGACACCCTAGAGTGTACCCTAGAGAAGGCATCCACATTCTGATGTTGTTTTGCAGGTCTCTGTTCCATCACAAACATGAACTCTTATAAGGCCAAGAACCATCTGGTTACCTTGACATTCTTGTATGAGTTCTGTCTCATCCAGGTCAGTGGTGCATGGTTGGACAAAAGACAAAACTTCCGACCACGGCAAAAATAGCATAGGGAGTTGAAAGCACTCTCCACTATGGTGCAATTTCTCTTGGTATCCGTCAACTTCCTACTGAGGAAGACTTTGGGGTGCTTCTCCCCATTAACCAGTTGGGACAGAACAAATCCTAAGCTTTAACTGGAGGCATCTGTTTGGACAATGAACTCTTTAGAGAAGCCTGGAACAGCCAGCACTTGATACTGGCATAAGGCTTTTTTTATACTCCAGAAAAGCCTTTTCAACCCTGTCATTCCATTTGACTATGATTGACTTCCTGCCTTCCGTCAAGTCAGTCAACGATAGTAGCAATAGTGGCAAAGTTGGGGACAAACCATTGGTAGTAGTCAATGATGCCCAAAAAAGCTGGGACCTGTTTATTTGTGATGGGGCGGGGACAAGCCTGAATAGCTTCTACCTTGTTAATCTGAGATTTTATCAAACACCTACCCATAATGTATCCCAGGTACCCACTCTTCCACTTGGAGACCCACTCTTCCACTTGGAGAAGGCCGTGGTCCTTCTAATTTACAGGTTTAGTGCCAGATCTCTCGGAGAGGGTCATTTTCTTTAACCCTACATATGTATTTTGGCTACTTCATGTTTGTTGGGTTTTGTGACGGGAGTCACTTTGGGTTGGTGGCCCATGGAACCCAGCTCACTCTGGAGAGGTGGGAAGACCTCTGTCTCAGCTCCCTATATCCCTATTATGTGTAAGTCACCCTGTGCCTGTTAGGGGTACAGGGTGATCTGTCCTAATATTGTGTAGACATGTCTAGGAGATAGGTGGGTTGTAGATTGTTTGGTGTTATGTGGTTGCATCCCATTGTTCTACTGTGTGTCTTGCTGGGAGCAAACTATTATGGAATGTATGTGTTTATGTGTATTAGCTTAGTGGGGGGGGGGGGGGTGGGGGTGTCTCCAGCAGTCGTCCCTCCTTATGGGACTGTCTGCTGGTGTGAAGCTTGGATACCTGGGGTGCCTGTTGTCGATATTCGGACGGTAAAGCGGTATTCTAACGGAAGTATCCAAGTGCAGTCTGGGGTCGGTTCCGTTACAGGTTTCTCATGTCCTGCACACCTGTTACATTCTGTCATGCCTGTCTGACCAGAAATTAGAATCAGAAAGTAAAGTCTGTTTCGTCTCTGAACTTTTTTTGCTTTGCTTTAGGATGGTCCTTTTCACAAAGCTTTGAGGACAACATTCGAAATATTCAAATCCTTTAATTGACAGGTTTAAGGAAAGCCCTAAGGCTGTAGGTGTTGCTTAAAGGACCAGCACAGTATTCAGGGACATCAATAGTAGCAGTATACTTAGGCAGCAAATACTTTGGGGTTGGACTTTAACTTTTTAACCATTTCCCACCCGGCCCATACCTGGGTGTGTATTTATTGGCCTTCCACAATGGCCACAGGTGTGAGTTTTATTTTTTTGTTCACATACTGTCACCAGAAGTGCTGTCACTATGGCGATATTGTACTGCTGTGGCAGTGATCATGTAAAATGGTTGGCTGCTCTGATGATACTGTATGTCAGTGCAGCCAACCATTGTCTCTGATCACCACCATAGCATTACAATGTCACCAGACCAGTGCAGCCAGTCACAGTGCCCCCATTTACCACCACACCAGGCCCAGTGTCACCATAAGGTCTCAATCACATGCTCTTCTGAATCTTATTCACATCCTTCATGTATTTAAAGGTTTCAGTTATTTCTTTATTCCCTTCTTTTTACTAGATTTGATGTATTAAGTTCCTGAAGTCTCCCCTGATATGGTCTATCCTTAAGACCTTTCACCATTTTTGTTGCCCAGCTCTGGACCTGTCTATCTTATCAATATTTTTGTAAGCGAGGAACACAGTATTCTAAATGAGGTCTCACTAAAGATCTATATAGGGCAGGGGTGGGCCAGCTGTTGTAGAACTACAAGTCCCAAGAGGCATTGCAAAACTGACAGTTACAAGTATGACTCCCAAAGCAGAGGCATGATGGGACTTGTAGTTCACCAACAGCTGGAGGGCCACAGTTGCCCACCCCTGATATAAGGGAATCCTGTAGGGCCTCCTTCCTGCTAAAGACCTACTGGGCACATGACCCCTCTAGTGATAAACATGAAACAAGAATGGAGTACATGATCTATATAATATTGTAGCACGTTTTGAGGAACAGCACTCGGGACCACAACACTATGTGTGCAGAAAAAAAGGCCCAGCACACCTTCCTCATGGCGGAGGGAGCATGCTCAGGTGACCATTGATGGGAAAATGAATTCCAGAGTTTATCAAGACATTTTGCAGGAAAACGTACGACTCTAGTGATATAAAGATCTAAAGGTTCACATACTTTTTCCTCCCTGCACTGTGAATGTTTACATATAGCAACGACCCTCTGGGGTGCCTTGTCACGTTTTTTGGTGACATCTCAAAACGTCATCTTTTTTTTATTAGAATCGGGACCTCTTGGGACTTTCCTCCTGCCGGTGACCCCTCTAGTGATATAAAAATCTATATAGAGGAATCGGGACCTCCTTCCTCCTGCTGTGATTCTTATAGTGATAACTAAAGATCTATATAGAGTAATCGGGTCCTCCTTCTTCCTGCCGGTGACCCCTCTAGTGATATAAAGATCTATATAGAGGAATCGGGACCTCCTTCCTCCTGCCGGTGACCCCTCTAGTGATATAAAATCTATATATAGGAGGAATCAGGACCTCCTTCCTCCTGCTGGTGACCCCTCTAGTGATATAAAGATCTAAAAACAAACAGCGCTCAAATCTTCATGCAAACTGGAAGAAATTCTGAATGCCAAACTTTTAGCTAAAACGTTTAGCTCTGAAGAAGGGGGTTAATCTCCCGAAAGGCATCAGCTTATCCCTGAATAGGGCACAGCATTGTATTGACTGCCATTTGCAGACTACATATTCTGCTTCTTATTTTCCTTTGGTTTGTGAGTAGACATCTATTTATTTACACAATAAACACGTGGTGTACGACGGTAATGCATGATGAGAGTGCGCCCTTGTTTGTGATTCCTCTAGTGATATAAAGATCTATATAGAGGAATCGGGACCTCCTTCCTGACCCTTCTAGTGATATAAAGATCTCCAACCCTCCTTCCTCCTGGGTGACCCTTCTAGTGATATAAAGATCTATATAGAGGAATCGGGACCTCCTTCCTCCTGCCGGTGACCCCTCTAGTGATATAGAGGAATCGGGACCTCCTTCCTCCTGCCGATCTATATAGAGGAATCGGGAATCGGGACCTCCTTCCTCCTGCCGGTGATCCCCTCTAGTGATATAATGATCTATATAGAGGAATCGGGACCTCCTTCCTCCTGCCGGTGACCCCTCTAGTGATATAAAGATCTATATACAGGAATCAGGGACCTCCTTCCTCCTGCCGGTGATCCCCTCTAGTGATATAAAGATCTATATGATATAAAAGATCTATATAGAATCGGGACCTCCTTCCTCCTCCGGTGACCCCTCTGCTATATAGGTGACCCTTCCTCTAGTGATATAATGATCTATATATATATAAAGTATGTTCCATCTGTCCCCTCTAGTGATGTCTGCAATAAGTAGTCTGCGACTACTGCAACTCCCTCCTCATTGGCTTACCTTTTACATAGGCTATCTCCCCTCCAGTTCATCATGAATACTTCTGCTAGATTCATCCACCTCACCAACCATTCAGTGTCTGCTACCCCTGTCTGCCAATCCCTCCACTGGCTTCCACTTGCTCAACAAATAAAATTCAAACAACTTACAAAGTCATCCACAACTCTGCCCCCAGCTACATCACCAACCTGGTCTCAAAATATCAACGAAACCGCTCTCTTCAATCCTCCCAAGACCTTCTGCTCCCTAGTTCCCATGTCACCTCCTCCCATGCTCGCCTCCAGGACTTCTCCCAAGCTTCTCCCATCCTATGGAACTCCCTATCCCAATCTGTCCGGCTGTCTCCTAATCTATCCACCTTTAGACGATCCCTGAAAACCTTTCTTTTTAAAGAAGTCTGTCCTGTTTCTTCCTAGTAAACCACCATTTATTTCCTCCATCAGCTCATCCCCCCACAGCTATTACATTTTGTATCACTCAGCCCTTCCTCCTAGATTGTAAGCTCTCTGGATCAGGGCCCTCTGTGTCCTCTTGTACCAATTTGTAATGTAACTGTAATGTCTACCTTCATTTTGTAAAGCGCTGCGCAAACTGTTGGCGCGATATAAATCCTGTATAATAATAATAATAATAATATAGAGGAATCAGGACCTCCTTCCTCCTTCCGGTGATCCCTCTAGCGATATAAAGATCTATATAGAGGAATCGGGACCTCCTTCCCTTCCGGTGACCCCTCTAGTGATATAAAGATCTATATAGAGGAATCAGGACCTCCTTCCTCCTGCTGGGGATCCCTCTATTTCCCTAGTTACATCATTTTACGTTTAGAAACACTGAAGTGCAGTTTCCACTGCTTTGACCAATCTTCTAATGCCAAATCATGTTCCATGTTACAGGCACCTCCAGGGACATCAACCCTATTGTACACCTTTGTGTCATTAGCAAAGAGACATCCCTTACCCAACAACCCTTTAGTTCTATCCCTTACATATAGATTACATAGAACATGTCCCAGTACAGAGCCT